AAGGATTTTTGGAAAATTGAGTGTGGGGATACAGACAGAACTGAAATCCCCCATGTTGGTCCGATGAAGTAAGTCAAGTGCTTTCGCGCGTCGCAGAATGTGCGCGCGGGCACGACGCGAAAAGAAAAAAATCCAGGTTCAATCCAAAAAGTATTGTCGAACTTCCCACCGCGCTACGGGTCTTCGTTTAGAGTGAAAGGGCTCCGGTACACGCCGCGTGTCCCGTTTCCGTATCAAGTCCCGACGTCGCTCGTTGGTTAGTTCCGAGTTCGACGTGGAGGGTCTCAGCCTCGTGGCTCTTTCCTTGTGCTCATCTTCACTCTGTATTCGGTAGTGGAAGCCCTTTGATTCGTAGCGGTCGAAATGCTGGCACTCAGTACAGAGGGTTCGGGGCCAATGGGGCGCCACTGCCGTCCACGGAATGACGATCAGCTCGTTAAATGGCAACAATGCTGAGTAAGGCGGGAAGTGCGTATTGATAGTGACAAAGCCCGCGTCCACAAATCCAGAACAACGATTTTCGGGAGGGAAGTAATATTGTCCGCCGATCTGTGCGACAGCTTCTCGTACGTCCCACTCGCAAACATGGGTCCTTTCCTCGTTGTAAGGGAAGGGGCGCGTTGGCATGGGAGACACGGGAGGCTGGCACTCAATCGAGGTGTGCCCGTCAGTCCACATATCAATCAATCGAATTGAGTTTGCAAAAACCTCGAGACGTCATCAAAAAACACAATCGTAAAAACCAACTAATATATACCTTCCTTTCTACACGAGAGAACCATGTTACAGAGCTCGTACAACCATGCAGCAATCGGGTTAAAGTTTCGAGGGACGAACCCGCGACTGAGGCTCAGCTGGCCAGATCGTCGTAAATCGAAGGCGCCTTGCTCTTTCGAGGCTGCCTCGCATACTGGCTGCAGATGTCGTGCAGTGTAAGGCACATGGCATGCGCAATGCATTCAGAACGACAGATCTAAACACTCTTGCATTCTCGAACAAGATCCCGTCGAGCTCTGGGTCTAATCAACGAAAAATTCACATACAAGCATTTCTATGCATGCATCCACTGTGGAAGGTGCGAAAATAACAATGGTGCACAAATCAGAAATAAATCGGGGGATTGTACACACGCATCCACCGTTCACAAGACAAGATGATTGAGTTCCTTTGCATCCAGGGATTACCAAGGAAACTAATGAAGGAGTTCCGGAAGAAGTTCTTCTTCGCAGGAAATTACAAGGATTCACTTTTGTTCACAGGAGAGACAAACTCATAACACATCGTCATTCAGATCAGAGAGAGAAAGGGGAGAGATGGGCGAGAAATATCGAGACAGGAGACACTGGAATCCGACAAGACAACGTTCGGCTCCACAGCCATGAACTCACACCAAAGAAAAACGATCCGCAACAATGAAGGCGCATTCGTCGTGAAATTCCAATATGTCCCTAGGCCAATCATCCACTCAATTCCAATTACCGATTCTCATACCCACATCGATGATCCCGACCGTCGCGTGCTAACTTCTGCCACTGCAATCGTCACCCCGCTGACGGACGCTCGACACGGCTCGCCCAGATCCCACAGTCCGTCGTGTCAAGCACGCAACTGGCCAGCCTACAGGTAGCCCGTCAGGACTTTTCGACTTCCGCAGAATGCATCACCTAGCCACTGGTTCCCGGAAGCTGGCTTGGGAGTTGAAAACATAAGAGAGATTTGCGGGCGCGCAGTTGCGAGAAAGAAGACAGACGGGAGAGAAGGCAGAGGGGAAATCGAGGTGTAGGGGAAGAAGATTCAGCGAGGGGTGCTCAAGGGAAGCCATGTTGATCCTTCGGAACCCAATGTTCAACCAATCAGATTCGTCGCGTAGTAGGAAGATCCTCTTACTCAACGCGTCTGATTGGTGAGCAGGGGTAATCGGAGGACCAACCAGGTTTCGTGAGCCAACGTTGAAGAGCGAGAAGGAAAGAGGCGCAAGATGCAGCGCGAGACAGGTCCAAGCTTCAAATGATCAAGAAAGGAAACGGGTGCGCAAAGAGCAGAGAGAGGGAAAACAATTGCGACAGGAGACGAAGAGGAGGGGGAAGGGAGAGAGAACAGAGTATGGGGGAAGAATGACGCAGGAAATAAGGAGAAGGAAGCTCGCATTTGCGGCGCTGACAACAAAAGAAAAAGGCACCAAAACAGTTACAGCTTGCCTACGTCCTAAACCAATTCAAAAATTGAAATCACCATATGTGCGTGCGAGAGTCGATGCGGGAAAAGAAAATCCTATGCCTATCCGTATGCTCACAAAATTCCTATAGTTTTCTCTGTCGTGACTGAGAACATTCATGCACAAAAGAAAAGAGACGCGTTGGGTTCCGCTTATTCCGGAATTCCTAACTGTCGAGCCCGATTCCTAGTGCGCTCGCTCAGGCGCATGCAATTTCCCATGCATTTCCCGAATGACAAAAAGCAGAATTCAAGAATCGATAGAACCTCTAAAAAATGGGGGTCTAAACAAGGCACCTGAAATCAAGAAAAGCGACGGGCTCCGTTACCCCTTGGAGCTACTAATAACACTCAACCCTTCTTGGAGCACCCTGTATTTATCTCTCCCCACAGCCCTTCCTTTGCAGCTCCCTTTTGACATTGAATCCTAATCTGCCCTTTTGAACCCTATGAGCCTTGTACCCGCTTCGATGTCCTCTTTGATTCCCCCCTCTACCCCTACAAGATGTACCATGAGGGGGTTAGCGGTAGTGAAGTCTGTCCTCTAGTAGAATTGGCGTCGTTGTCCACTTTCCTGTGTCTCTTGAAACCGGGTATTGCGTCACAACCATTCGCTGCTGCTAGGGCCTTCCGTTTCTTGTCCCTGAGTAGCAGTATCTGCGGAGCAAAGACAGGGGGGAGGAGAGGGGGGGGGGGGGGGGAAGGCATCAGGCAATGGAGGGGGGGGGGGGGGGGGGGGGGGGGGGGGGGGGGGGGGGGGGGGGGGGGGGGGGGGGGGGGGGGGGGGGTGAAGGGGTCAGGAATGGGGAGCCAACCGAAAGGGGGGGAGGCGGTGACGGGAGCGGCAGAGGGGACTGGGAGGGTATAGGAGGGGCCTGATGTGGGTGAGGGGCAGACTCCACAGGGGCTTGGGGGCATTGGGCAGGTATCAGGTCGATTGTTGCTACTATCCCTGTTGACGGGCCTGACAGTGGTGTGAAAAAGCAGTTCGGGTGGCGGAAAGACCATTGATCCTCCTGTGCCGCCCAATTTTTCCATACGCTTTCCGCTGTCCTGGACCCCTGCCATCTTGCGATGGGGATCAAGCCACCGTTCGTCAAATGCTGAGATGGCCTGTTGGTTTTTTCTATGTCAAGACTGCCTTTCATGTCTTCCCTGACGAACCATTTCCCGCCCCCGCGCTATCTTTCGTACCCCCTTGACCCAATACCCCCTTTGTGTATCATACCGACCCTGCAGAACCCTCGTCGCTTTTCTTGATTTCAGGCGCCCTGTTTGGGCCCCCATTTTTCGAAAGTTCTATTGATTCTTGAAATTCTGCCTTTTGTAATTCGGGAAATGCATGGGAAATTACGTGCGCCTTAGCGAGCGCACTGGGAATCGGGCTCGACAGTTAGGAATTACGGAATAAGCGGAGCCCGACGTATCGTTTTCCTTCCATGAATGTTCTCGGTCACGTGAGGAAAACTTTAGGAATTTTGGAAGAATACGGATAGGCGTAGGAATTTTTTTTCCCGCGTCGACTTTCGCGCGCGGATATGGTGATTTCAATTTTTGAATTGGTTTTGGGCATAGGCAAGCTGTAACTGTTTATGTGTCTTTTTCTCTTGTTGTCGGCACCACTCATGCGAGCTTCCTCCTCCTTATTTCCCGCGCCACTCTTCCCCCGCGCTCTCTTTTCTCTCCCTTCCCCCTTCTCTTCGTCTCCCATCGCAACTGTTTCTCTCTCTCTTTGCTTTTGTGCGCTTGATTCCCATTCTTGATTGTCTGAATCTTGGACCCGTCTCACGCTGCTTTTCGCGCCTCGTCTCTTCTTGCTCATCAACCTTGGCTCTTGAAGCCCGGTTGATCCTCCGGTCACCCCGGCTCACCAATCAGACGCGTTGAGTAAGAGGATCTTCATATTGCGCGACGAATCTGATTGGCCGACCACCGGGTTCGGAAGGATCAACATGGCTTCCCCTGAGCGCCCTTCGCTGAACCTTCTCTCCKTACACCCTKATCTCCCCTCTGACCCTTCCCCCATCTATCTCCTTTCTYGCAACTATAAATTATGCAAACGCGCCCGCAAAACTCTCTTATGTTTTCCACTCGCAAGCCARCTTTCGAGAAGCAGTGRTTAGGTGATGTRTTTGGTGCGAGTCAAAAAGTCCTGTCGGGCTGACTGTAGTCTGGCCGGTTGCGCGCTTGATCGCCACGACGGACTGTGGGATCCAGGCGAGCCCAGTCAAGCCTACATCAACGGGGTGACGATCGCAGTGGTGAAAGTTAGCACGCGACGACCGGGATCGTCGGTGCGGGTATGACGATGTGTGATTGGAGTTGAGTGGATGATTGGCCYGGGCCCGTATTGGAATTCTATGGCGAATGCGCCTTCATTACGGATCATTTTTTCTGGTGTGAGTTCATGGTTGTGTAGCCGAATGCTCTCGTGTCGGATTCTGATGCCTTTTGTCTCAGCTTTCCTTGTCTATCCCTCCCCCCCCCGCCCACTCACCCTCTCTCCCTCTCTCTCTGACTCGGATAATTATGCATTGATGGTTTGTCCCTCTTGTGAACAGAAGTGAACTCAGAAGAGTTTTCGCAAGGAAGAACTTTTTCCGGAACTCTTCCATTAGTTTCCTGGGTAATACCCAGTGGACGAGGGCTTGATCCCCTTGTCTTGTAAACGGTGGATGTGTGTGTACAAATCCCTCCGTTGATTTCTGACCTGTGTACCCTTGTCATTTTTGCACCTTCCATAGTGGATGTAAAGGTTGCTTGTCTTTTTGCGTTGATTAGACTCAGCGTTCGATTGGATTTTGTTCGAGAATGCAAGAGTGTTTAGATTTGTGCACTGTGCATGCCATATGCCTTATGTTGCACGACATTAACCGATAGTCGGTATGGCAGCCTCGAAAAAGCTAGGCGCCTCGTATTTTTGTTAATGAAGTCCGCTGAAACTGAGTCGCGGGTTGATCCCTCAGAACTCCAACGCGATCAATGCATGACTGCGCGGGTTCCGTAAGCCGCTTCTCTCGCGACCAACGGTAGGAAGGCACTAATTATTTCTTTTAGTGCTTTTGATGACGACTCGAGAAATTGCGTAAGCTCCATCTGATTGATTGATCTGTGGACTAACAGTTGTTCCTCGATCGGACGCCAGCCTTCCGTATCTCCGTCGCCGACGCGTCCCTTCCCCTACAACAAGGAAAGGACACGTGTATGCAAGTGGGACGTACGGAAAGTTGTCGCACGCATCGGTGGACAATATTACTTCCCTCCTGAAAATCGTTGTTCCGGGTTCGTGGATGCGGGCTTTGTCATTATCGATACGCATTATCCACCTTACTCTGTATTGTTGTCATTTAACGAGTTGATCGTCATTCCGTGGACGGTAGTGGCGCCCCATTGGCCTCGAACTCTATGCACTGAGTGCCAGCGTTTCGATCGCTACGAATCGAAGGGCTTCCACTACCAAATACGGAGTGAGGACGAGCGGCCCGGGCATTTCGCACTGAACTGCCCGCAGCCGAAACGAAATCAACCCCCACCTGCTGCAGCCCCCGTAGCTCTGAATCAAGGACGAGCGGCCGCACTAATGGATATGGCCCGAAGCGAGGAGATCGTTGCGTACACCCCTGAGCTCCCTTCCCCCTCCATGGCAGTTGCATCGACCTCGGGAATTTCTTCCTCCGACGCTGCTGACATGGTCGATCCGCTCGAATACCTTCATCTTGCCGGAATGATCGGAGCAATCCGACCAGCTCAGGACGATCTTAAATGGGTC